CGCGAGCCGGTTCCTCTCTCTCTTAGCTCTCTCATCGTCAGTGTCTTCGCTCTAGCGCGTTGTGTGGGAGCCGTACGAGTGGCAGTAGTGTACACACGCTGCTTCGACGGTTACTGAACTTCTCGTCGGCCTGTATACTTTTTGTATTCTACGCTCGATCGTCACATTGTCCTTTTTTGCCCATTATATTATTCCGCGATTATCAATCGAGAATCATTGTATCGTCAGGAGCCGTATTAGTTGGTGGTCCGTCGCGGGAGCAGGTATGCGCTCGTGGTTACGTTTGTACACGTTCGAAACACTCTGGCTGCCATCGTTTGATCCAAAAGTACCGTTACCAGCAAGTACCGTCGACCACGTGGCTTAGCGCGTGTTTCTACTCTCTTAACGTGCGTCGTTCCATCGAGTCGACGTCCCGTTTACCGACGACATTCGATATCAACCTAGAAAGAAGCGTCAGTCGCGAACCAGGAGTGCTGAACCTTGGAATACATCTCTTCGCTGCTGTTCTCTTTGCTGTCGAACGAGAGAGGGACAAAGGCAGACTTGTACGAGGTGAGAGAAGGGGGAGAAAAAGAGGGAGAAGGTGAGAGAGCGAGAGAGAGAGAGAGAGAGAGCGCGCGCGAGCGAGCGAGCGAGCGAGCATGCTGACTGGCAAGTACATTGGACACGTTTGCGCTCGCGGGCTGCGTCCATCGACACCACTAGGGTGATCGTACCTCCGAAAGGGGTCTGTGTTGCAGTTATTGCAACAGCGCACCATTTTCTAACAAGCTACCTTGGGTTATTTACGTCTCGTTTGTCTTTTAATTCTGTAATCGGAAACCGAATTTTTGTGTTGAATGATTTTGGTACAAGTATACATTTTAAGGTTCAGAAGTCTAAATGATTTATATTCACAATTAATAATTCAATATTGTGGTCATCTATGTTGAAACCGTGGCTAACGTAAAAATCGTGTCAATATCGCATACCTTTTTGTTTCTTTATCTTTTTCTTCTAAAGTCAGGAGTTGAATTATTATTTTGAACAATTCCGGATAAGATACAGGTGTCTAAATCAGTGATTTTCAATCTTTTCCAAAATTATGTTTGGTACAAGTAAGGGCATTTACACCGAATAGATTTTGTTGCACTGGTTGTTATCACTTATTTATTTGACAGTGTAAGTGACTAAATGCATAATAATAAATGTAATTAACTTATCACATGTTTTTAAGTATTTCCGCGGCATACTGGTTGAAAATTTCTGATCTAGATGATTTATACTTGTGATTAATATTGCAGGCTTCTACGTCGAAACCGTTAACGCAAAAATCGTGTCAATATCGCAGTCTTCGCAGTTTATTGGTCGTTAACAAAGTCAAATCGAAGACTAGGAAATGTTTAACCGCGACAATTAAACGTACGTAGCGAGGAACAAAACCGGTTGCGTAGTTTGTCTCGTTCATTTCGCGGAACATGTTGGAAACATGATATAGCATGTTCGCTACGCTCGCTTTCAATGTAGCTGAAATCTTTTAAACTTCAGCTTAACGATATGCTAATCTTTCGCAATAGGAACTGACAGATAGTCCGTAGGAGGAAACAACGACATTTTACAGAGCAGTATCTCGGTTGACCTTGATTCTCGTTGTAACATTTTGTCATTGAGCTGATCGATAATTGGATTTAGATCAGTACTTCACTAGTCGATCGGCCATTACGAATTGTTCATCTGCAAATCTTGTTTTAATCGCGGTATAATAATGTTTTCAAGAACGATAATATGTACATACATTTTTACGTATATATATTTGTTTTTTTAA